AGCGGCAGATCGCTCGTCTAAGGTAATCACTGGACCGCTTCTGAAGGCACGATAACGCAAGAGACCACAAATGTAAAGTGGTAAAAGTCTCAGATTTGGAGGCAGAGCCATAGTACCGGCAGTCAGTCCAGCAATTGAGGCGAATGCAGACAGTGCGTCGGAAACTGAATTAGCCATCGCTTCGCGTGCGTTGGGGACACCGGAAGAAATAGCCCGATCCACGGCCATTTTACCAATGAGACAAGCGATCGCCCCTTGATCCGCGCCTTGAAATACCTCATATGGGTTATGTACAACAGGAAGGCTAAGTGTGTGCACGCGAATTCGTCTGTCGCCATTCGAGGAAGTATAGAGTATGGCAGCCTGCGAACGGAAGAAAATTAAGATGTTTTGAGTACGAGAAATGATTTTCAATCTACAAAAGAAGATGGGGTTTACGATACAAAATACGACAATCCGATTATTGTGCACTCGCACTAGGTTGGTGCAAAGATGAACACGGAGTAAATGAATCGTCCTGAGAACAGCCAAATGAATCAGGTAATAGATCAATGAAAACGTGTGCCATTGTGATGCTGGTGAAATGGTCTGACTCCAACATAATTATCGAAAACGCACTTAGATAGGTGTTCCGATCGATAACAGTTCTAAACTCTGTCAAATAACCATCATGAAGATAGATGGAACAGAAATACATCATGAAACTTCACCACGAATGATCTGTGAAAGCTGGAGTAGGAAAGCGAAAAGTGCCCACCCGGTGATATTTGCTATGATCACATTAGTGTACACATAATGAATTGCTAACGCGATTACTACCAACATTATGCAGATCTGATTACATATACATTCTCAACTAGAAAACAACCGTTTCGTGTTTCGTAGGATTTTGGTTCACATCATTCGCTAGTCGCCAAATGCAGAGTAGTACATTTTTAATAGATTTGAACTGATAACGCGAAACGGCAGCAACAGCGTGATTAATCTTACTTTGCGTGAACAATAATACATATATTCACAGTGATACCTTGACGACGACCCTACTTTGGTCCTAATGTACATAAAGTACTCATTGTATTCCACTCACGACAGATGAATGCTTCATGCTAGAAACTTGCCGGTTTTACAGACGTTAAACTCGAGCGACGAAGTGTATTCCATATGCCACAGCAGGTTAGAGCCAAACCAGGTTTCTGATAGTCTGTTAATTTACTAGTTGAAAACAAATCACACACTAGCACACTATGAGTAGTTCCAATTGCTCTGTTAAGCGATCCGAGTATGAATTATTCCAGTGGCACAATGTGACGCATTTCGACATTCAGCCTTGACGACCACTGACCTCAATGTGAACTAGGTCAATACAGAGCCGGGACGAGAGTGTCACAAAAGCACATTAAGGATAATACCACGAAACAGTGACCGAGGTGAGCGGACGACGTGAAACATAAGTGTGTGTGGGGGGAGAGCGATACATGGGATCTGATGAGCCACTTGGACACTCTGTGCTCGATACATTTTACTTGGTAGTATGAAACCAAAATGCAGTGAGCACTGCAAATCGCGGAACGTTTTTTTTTAGTGAGCGTAATCACACACAAGTGCGTGTACAGGAGGGAGAATGATGTTTTATCACCAACGGCACAATCGATATGAGTACTGTTGTATGCGGGCGCCCAATCATCTTTGTGACGGGTGTGCACGATAAGTCTCAACGTGAGCCACATCGTCACCGCTACATGTAATCAAATAAATCAAAGTGAATCAATAGGAGAGAACAATAAGATTTATGTGCGGGATGAACGCACACGATGGAATTACCTGACAACAGACTGCCGTATATTTATCTACACTTTCAGTAAGATTCAATTGGACCGCGAAGCCTGCATCTGGACTAACGTTTGGAAGAGACATTAGATCCGTAGAGCGCACGAAAAAGCAACCATGAAAAGCCTGCAAAAATGCAAAGAAAAAAGCAACGTTTTGAAACTTTTCATATGGACTATATTTGCAATGCTCTATTGCAGTGGGCAAGATATGATCACAGAAACAGGTACTAGTCGGCAATTATATGTGCGTTCACAAAAACAAACATAAAATTATAGATTGGTTAAATCAAACAAACGTATCAAGCCGAAATCCGTTAGACCTGGGAGACAGAGTAGTTAGACAGATTGCAAAATTTGCAACAGGGAAACACATGCTTAGGGTGTGTAGAATATTGGAGCGTTCTATCTCACATTGGTGGTGACACACGCACAAAAGAATACAATAAATTGTATCTGAATGACCGTAATGAATACGAGGATATTGCCAACCGTCAGGTGTGCGTATGCGATAGTCGCCTGTGCAATCACTCATATACTAAAACGCCGAGTGTACAATTTCTACGCAAATTTATGACTAGCACCTCTGGAGGTACTTTTTATGTATATGTATATCCTGACAAGGGGAAGGCGAACGCTGAGTGATAGTAGTTATTGTAAAGTTTCCTTTCCAAACTAAGACTCCTTGTCAAACAGGGTATATACATTTAAGACGATGGCCGTTTATATCATCCCGCTGGAAGGAGAACTATAAATCTCTCAAGGAGTGAAATTCATACACCCAAGAGCATCAACAGAGCCTGGTACCTATGAAAAACGGAACAGGTTATTCCAAACACTCATCGTCTACATTGATTGAGCCATTCTTTCGAAGTGTTAACCGTCGGTCGTGTGACTTAGGGATAAGGGTTTCGACTCCTAGCCAGAAGGCTCACGGTTCGAGTCCTGGCAGGGACACCAAAAATACGCATTACTGACGAATCCCAAACAAAACAAAACTACTGTCAAATGCTCTGTTTGTCAGCACGAACATTTCGATTGCGCTTATACATATGCATAATCATATACAAACATATGACAGTTTTCTAATGTCTATTAGTTGCTGGAACTACACTCATTCATCATGCAGAGGGATGATAAACTGCGGTTAACAGTAAAAAAAAAGACAACCACACGATTAAAGTCGAACTCCATGACTTCGCGAATATTTTGCTCAAGGATTAAGTACACGACAGAACTGCGCACCTTTGTCGGAACCATTCGATGTAACACGGTTGTTAGATCAACATTTTTAATCACTTGAATGAAATCTAGTTTTAGAATTCGACAAGTTAATCTGATTTTTGATTTTTGCACCTATTAAAAAACGGATTACTGTAAACAATTTCTTGCTTTAATGAACCAATCGAAAAATACACTATGAAAACTAACCTGAATAGAAATTCCGTGGGTGCAACGAATTCGCATCACAGCCTCAAATCCGATCTTACGAGTGATGTATCGATCGAAGTCCCGTCGGAATCGTTCCAATTCAACGAGGTTGTAATTTTGCACGGAATCAGATGCCTGATTCGGTGGACTCGTTTTCGGTGGACAGAAGAAATTCGGATAATGGTAGACGGTTCCCGACGAGAAACGAGAGACACCGGAAAGGGTGGCGATATCACAGTATTGGGAATTCAATACGAACAGATCAACCGCGACCTATGGGAAGGATGCATGAGTAGGAAACCATGAATATGCAAACTGACCACAAACAAACTAAATAAATAGATAATTAACCACAAAAGGTAGCTCAAGTCGAAAATTTGAATGTCAGATGATGAAGCTAATCAGTTCAGTCTTAAGTTTTGTTCTGGTATTGTTAGGTAAAAGGTTTTATATTTTACCTAAAACTGTCAAATTTTCAAGTATTTCTAAAAATGTTCCCCACAAATTAAGTCTGTATTCATTTTCTTCTGGCTCTTTCCGTTCACCCCTTTTTGGTCAGTGATGGGTAAAG